TTTCACACCAAACGTGAAATAAATAAGCCTCAGGCTGAAGGAAATGTAAATGTACGTCCGTACAGTAGAATGCAGAAGAAGAAATTTCAACACTTCAGCAATAAACAAAGACACACAAATGTTTGTCTAGAGTAATTTTTGCTTATTAGTATGATTGAACTGGATCATCGAAGGTCAGAAGCAAAGCCATTGGTTAATAGAATGGGATTAAATACATAAAGGATATTTGTGTTGTTTAACATTTAATTATTGCAGGTTTGCGTCATATTCTGAGTTGCATTTTTTAAATTCATTTTGAGGAATGCTGAATCTGTGTGTTTTTTTTTGTGAGTGAGATGAACTAATGCATATTCATATTTATTTTAGAACTACAGTAACCTCTGATTTCTCTCAACATGGGGACAGGACAGCTGTCAATCAATAAATTGGGAAAAAAAAGTAACTTGCGTTACTTATTTGAAAAAGTAACTCTAAATTAGTAAATAGTAAATTAAAAAGTAATGCGTTACTTTACTAGTTCCTTGAAAAAAAGTAATCTGATTACGTAACTCGCGTTACTTGTAATGCATTACCCCCAACACTGGTTGTCAATATGGTGAAGTTCACTAAACAATACATTGGGGTTTCCTAAACTGGGGTCAACTAAAGAACTGCAGGGGGTTTCCAAGTTTAAAAGTTTATAATTCAATTAAAAAGCTAATAATGAAATAATAAAAATAAAAACTTTTTATTTTAAAACTTTTTACCTGCATGTCAATGTGACCATTAACCGAACAATGTGTTTTTAAATCATAATTAAAATGATTTACATATGATTTATAACATAATTCAAAATCTCAGGGGGACTTCAAGTGAATATTTTAGGTTCGGATGACAAAAAACTTACCTGCATTATATGAACAAACATTAATAAATATGAAAACAGCAATGACAGTACACAGCTAAAGTCTTGCAGGTTTTTAATTATTTTGTGTAGACTTCCAGAATCCAGAATTAGTAAAGGTCACTGTATATTTTGCAGACATTTTGCTGCTATACAGTACATCAATAGGTGTTTATTAACTTGCATAATTATTCATCTCATACATGGTCTAATAGATTGATTGGTGCTTTTGTCCCCAAAGTCAAAAATCTGATTTAAAAAGGGTCTCATTAAATCACCAAAGAAAACACACAAGTTGTTTAGCAGATTCTATATTCGTATTCAAGGTTCCTACACTCTCAGAAATAAAGGTACAACAGCTGTCACTGGGGCAGTGCCTTTTCAAAAGGTACACTTACCTATTAGGTTCTAATATGTACACTTTAAGTACTAAATGGACCCTTTAGGTACAAATATGTACCTTTAGAAAAGGTACCGCCCCAGTGACAGTTGTTGTACCTTTATTTTCGCATTTGGCTCCCAAACTCTGGAATAGCCTTCCTGATAACGTTCGGGGTTCACACTCTCTCTGTTTAAATCGAGATTAAAGACACATCTCTTTGGCTAAGCATTCAAATAATGCATCTCATAATCTTGTACTGCAGTTATATCTGATCAAATGCACATTATTATTCTTTAGTTTGGGTTAAACAAATCAATTTTGCTTGGTTGGAACAGCAGCTACGCTAATTATGTTTCTATTTGTTTCTCTGTTTTTTGCCACGGGATTGACATCCCGTGGTAACTAGGATTTACACAAGCTTCAGTCTGCATCCAGAACACCTGAGAAGAGATGATGCAACCCCTCAGAGGACCTCAGATGATGCCAACCCTGAAACAACATACAGAACTACCACATTTTGCTATAAGTTTGATTGCATCATATAATAATTGCTGTTAATAGTGTTCATCGTCTGTTTTATTACGTCTTTAATTGAGTTTTCCATATATTTCAGCCATATGTATATATTAACTGACAGTCACCACTGATAAACTACCACTAAATATTGTGGAAACTTAATTTGCTGTAAAGTTGCTTTGCAACGATTTGTATCGTGAAAAGCACTATACAAATAAACTTGAATTGAAACTTGAATTGAATATTTCTGATATTCTGACAAATTGTCAGCTACTCCAGAACACCTGAGAAGAGATGATGCAACCCCTCAGAGGACCTCAGATGATGCCAACCCTGAAACAACATACAGAACTACCACATTTTGCTATAAGTTTGATTGCATCATATAATAATTGCTGTTAATAGTGTTCATCGTCTGTTTTATTACGTCTTTAATTGATTTTTCCATATATTTCAGCCATATGTATATATTAACTGACAGTCACCACTGATAAGCTACCACTAAATATTGTGGAAACTTAATTTGCTGTAAAGTTGCTTTGCAACGATTTGTATCGTGAAAAGCACTATACAAATAAACTTGAATTGAAACTTGAATTGAATATTTCTGAGAGTGTATATATCTGTCAGCTACTGAACGGTCAAATCAATCACAATTTCTCCCTGATGTTCTCTCTACAGCTCATTTTATGTTTGAGACTTGTTACGTAATTTGTAAATTACACATTAAGGTCTTCACTTTAAATTTCTCTTGAACATCATTTGAGATCCCATGGAATAATATAATAAAAAAGTACCCATCTGGAAGAATAAACTAGGTCATTGTCATCTCCTGAACCATCTTAACCTGGCCAGGAGTGCTAAGTGCACATCCAGCAAAATTAGCAAAAGCAGAACTTGATCCCTATACTATCTTAAACAAAGGCAAAACATTCAAACAATGCTGAGATTTGTTTTTCTTCTCTTTATTTCTGGGCTGCCACTGTCCAGATAATGAGATTTTCCCCCACGACTCTCTGATTCAGTTGGTGTTTTTGTTTTGTTTTTTTGTCAAATTTGTTCAAAAATACAGTAAAAAATGTATCAAACATACAGTAAAAACAGTAATATTGACAGATTGTTACAATTTAAAATAACTATGTTCTATTTAATATATTAAAAAATTGGATTTGTTCCTGTGATTTTCAGCAGCCGTTATTCTAGTCTTCAGTGTCACTTGATCCTTCATAAAATAATTCAAAAAAATACATTCTAATATGCTGAAAACAGTTGCTTAATATTTTTGTGAAAAATGTGATGCATCTTTTTTCTTTGACCAATTTTCTTTTTTAATATAAATGCCTCTACTGCCACTTTTGATCAATTTAATGTGACCTTAAACTAACCTAAAAGTATTTATTTATATTTCTGACCACAGACCTTTGAATGGTATTGTATATGTCTTCCACAATTAAATCCACTACAGTAAAATTTACTGCACAGTGCATTCGTTAAGGACATATACATTTCAAAGTAGAAGTAAAGGTGAATTCTGAGGTTAGTGTTTAGATGAAAACACTATAATCCAAACAACAAATTAAATGAAAATATATTTAAATATTTAGATATATACATTTAAAAAAAGACTTACAAATGATACATTTTACAAAACTTTGGTAACACTACAAGAGAGCAGGACAAGGTATATTAAAAAGAGAATTTAAATATTTTCTTAAATATTTTCACATTTGTGTCACTGATGCATTGACCTTTCCTGTGTGTACACTGCACAACCTCCACACTGTCACATTAAAAAATACATTCTAATATGCTAATATGCTGAAAACAGTTGCTTAATATTTTTGTGAAAAATGTGATGCATTTTTTTTTCTTTGACCAATTTTCTTTTTTAATATTATAAATGCCTCTACTGCCACTTTTGATCAATTTAATGTGACCTTAAACTAACCTAAAAGTATTTATTTATATTTCTGACCACAGACCTTTGAATGGTATTGTATATGTCTTCCACAATTAAATCCACTACAGTAAAATTTACTGCGCAGTGCATTCGTTAAGGACATATACATTTCAAAGTAGAAGTAAAGGTGAATTCTGAGGTTAGTGTTTAGATGAAAACACTATAATCCAAACAACAAATTAAATGAAAATATATTTAAATATTTAGATATATACATTTAAAAAAAGACTTACAAATGATACATTTTACAAAACTTTGGTAACACTACAAGAGAGCAGGACAAGGTATATTAAAAAGAGAATTTAAATATTTTCTTAAATATTTTCACATTTGTGTCACTGATGCATTGACCTTTCCTGTTACCCAAAATAATGTTATTTTTAGCAACATCATATGACCTCTTTAATTATGATTTGCAAATTCATCAGAAATAAGCAAAACTACAGTCCAGCATCTCCCCACAGTACGTGCTTTAATCTAGGAGTGGCGGTATGTATATTTTATCAGCAGGCCATGGCTGTAATGCACTTCAGAGAGCACCACGTTCCCATCATTCTCACTGGTCAAATATATCTCCCCTTCTTTCCTGGGGAAGGAAGGCTGAGGCCACCAGGACTCAAAGTCACCAAGATGACGTGACAAATCAACAAAGATTCCGGGAAGACAGGATATTTTCATTGAGAACTGCGTGGTTCAACAACCACATTCAAAATATGGGAAAAATTCCATTCACGTCTTCAAGCTAAAATGTTTTCCAAGCATTTTTTCTTTCCCTTTACAGCTGTCACCTGTTCACTTAGCAAATACATGTTTTTTTAAGTACCATGAAAGTACATCTCACTCATTAAGTGTTGCAAAAATAAATTACATAAATTAAATTACATTAAATTACATTATTAAGCTATTAGTTTTGAATCAACAATTGCAATCAAGTCTTAATATTAAATAAAAATAATATTAACAATGTCTTTTATTGTAAAATAATAAAATGTATTTCCCATTATGTCTTTTTAGTAATTAAATTACTGTTTAATATTTGCAATATATATATATATATATATATATATATATATATATAGATGCAGTCTGGCACTACTGCATTTACTGTAATAATTAAAATAACATGTGAATTACTATATATTTTTCTTTGATTTATTGATTAATTGATTGTTGAATATTTGTGATATTTTTACAAAATTACATATACAGTAGACTATATTTTTACATTTATTTTATTTTGTGAGGTCAAATGTTGTAGTCAATCCTATGCCCTCATTCTTCATTCTGCAAGTCAATATCAGCTCCTATGTGAGTGAATTCCTCAAGAGGCTCGCAATCCGTCTCGCACACCATAAGTCTCTGTGCCAATATCTATCTGAGCTGCAGCACAAGGTTGAACTGGTCGTCCTCACCTCAATGTGGAGTAGTCTTACTACATGCAAGTAGTTGTTGATACTGTGCTCCAAGCGCTCCAGCAGAGTGAGTCCACAGCCAGTTTGGCTGAGTGTCCTGGCAGACCGCACATCCTGCGCAAGTGTCCCCAAAGACAGCAGGATCTCAGCCCTCTTCTCATGCACCTGGAACACACACACACACACACACACACACAGGTGTCTCAAAGAGTGTGTGCCCGAGAGCAGCGTGAGTGGGTTGATGCTCTAATGGAGGGAATGTGTGGGAGTGGGCTGCATTGAACGACTCACTGATTTTCTCTCCCAGGTTGCTTTGTGAATTCTGATGCATGGTAATTTAATATCAGACGGCAGAGCATCTACAGCACTGCAGACTCCCTGTAAAGAGGGTGAAAAGCACAGCCTATCAAATGTCTCACTGGTGGATAGACAAGCAAAGATGTAGACGCTGAGAAGTCAGGCAAACACAGAGTCAAGTCAATGAGATAGTGGATGACACCAAGACAGAGGATGACAGAGAATCAAGCAAGACAATTAACATGCAAATAGGTAGACTGACAGATATCTGTCAAGTGAAGTGTCGCATGCAAACATCTAATGAGGCTGAGCTATTAACGCTAAAATGGTAACTTGGTATTAATTCCTGCAGTTATATATGGTGTTAATATATGGTGGTGACTTGAAAAAGTATTCAATGGATTGGAAGACTTTTATAGCCTAATTCAATTGAAGGTTATCTGGATATGATTTAAGCACAAAATATAAGCTCATTTGGATTGAAACACCAGTCCAAGTCAGAGACGAATATTGTCTCAAACCTTGGCTTGAAAGGAAATGGCTCAGCTGTCCTTGTAACATGATCTCTTATCATCTTATACTATGGTGTAAGGTATGAATTTAACCATTGGGCCACAGATAAACACCCCAAAGGCCCATTCACACCAAGGACAATAACTATAACAATAACAGCAACGAGAAAAGCTGTCATTCTTGGTGTGAATGGGTCTTAAAAGAAACAGGAAAAACCTAGAAGTAAAATAACTATTTACATCTGAAGTAGATTTCACAGTCTTACCATTTCCACTTGTAAGTCCTTGACCTTGTTCATCATTCTTCTGGCCTCGCTGTCACACACAAAGTCGATTGGTCTAGTGTGAACGTGAGAGAGTTCAGAGGCAACCATGCTGAACACTACTACCAGTATTCCTATAAGACAACCAGTCCAATGAGAAAATGTGTGTCTGTATTATGTAACCCTGGGAAGTACAGTAATGAATTACAGTGGTAGATCCACTAAAGGCACAATATGTAAGATTTTTTTATTAAAATATCCAAAAACCACTAGAACAATTTTATATATTTTGCTGACTTGTGTACTTACATTATCCCAAATGTTTCGAAGAATGTTTAAATCCAGAGAAATAAGCAATTTTAACTAGCGACACGGACCGTGTCTATAGTGTCATGCTGTCGCCTGCCAAATTATGTCATAGCCCCTCGATTACCGGTTTTATTTTGTAGAAAATATGGAAACACCAAAGATGCTTTAATATGCTATGCATTTTATTAGACAGGTTACGACCGCACAGAGTAGCACTATAACAGAACGTTTAAATGTATCTAGTATAATAAAACAGCGCAGCTTACTTCCGCTGCTTTCCGGAAGGACTGTGGTCGAGCGGTCGACTGTGACATAATAAAAACTCTGCTGCTTTCAAGCCGTGTGTCGCGCTCGTTCAGTGGCCTCGTTTTCGCTTCGACGGCTTTCAGCCTCACCCTGCTTCATTCTACTACGTTAATAAATCTTTAATACATTAGCTCATCCATGAACATGATTTCTGTCCGAGTCCCATCGGATTGCATCGGCTGTGGGAGGAAGACGACTACTCCCATGATTCCACACTCAGTCACGGCGTCATCTAACAACGCCTTTGTTTTTTTGTTTGTTTTGAATATGCACCCTCTAGTGGCAAAAAATTACATATTGTGCCTTTAAGTCACAAATGTGCAATATTCAGTAACACTTGACAATGAATTACATTATTACATTATAAAATTCACAAACCAATAGTTACATAAAACGGCTCTTTGGAATACTTGATTCTGATTGGTTGCAGCACTGAGTGGTCAAATATTTTTCTATAATAGAGTGCAACAGTGCCTGCCCACTTTTTCAACAGACTTGGTTCCAGAAGTATTTTTCCCCTTCATCTTTCCTAAATGCATTTTTAAATAAGTCTTCATTAAATAGCTGTAAGCCATGAACCAAAGCAACCAGCTACGAGGCGAATCACAAGATTGCAAAGATAAAAATTGGACAAAAAGACAAAGGTATGTGTACTTTAATGAGGGCTTTAATGAAGGAAATAACTATAATCACATTAAGCATTGAAGACAACACCAGTTTAAAACAATGGATAAATATAAAACTATTGATTTAAAGATGCTGATTATATAGCCTATATAGAAACAATATATTTTACGCTTATTGCAAAATCTGCATATTATGCATACACATATTTAAGTAGTTTGAGATCGGAAAAAAACTGTTGCTAGCATCCCTTACGAAAAAGAAGTTTATTCAAGTGTGCTATTAGTATACCTCTTTTAAACTAAAAAGAGGAAAGTATACTTTGTCAAGTATACCCATTAAAATGTCTTTACATCAAGGACCCGATCATGGAACACTGCACAGTACAAGCGCAGCGTTGAGCTTCTCAAGTCTGTTCAGTAAAGAACGTTTTGATTGGTGGATTAAAAGCTCACCGCGATTGGCTGAACGGAACATCCTCCAAAAAAAGATATTTATGAATCTTAACCTGCCAGGAAGGTCTCAAAAATACCAGACACAAATTCAAAGCAGTCCACGCATGTGTGATGATTTGCAAATGCAGATTCAACGATCCATAAATACATATACCATTATTCATAAATGTGTGATGGAAATTAATTCAAGAAATGTATATATACATATTTGTGTAAACATTTTAAATTTATTAAGGTAAGATGCATTTGTGTGAGCATTTGGGGAAATATTTATGCTTTTACTTGTGTATTTATGAATTGTGTTTTGAATTTACGAATCGGATTTTGTAAATGTAAATTGTGCTGTGCATTTATGAATTTTGTTTTGCAAATGTGTTATTTTTGAGGCTGATCTGGCTCCATACATTAACGCTTCATTAACGCCAGACAAGTAACATGATTAAAACATCAGAAACCAAAAATAACTATGTAAACACCAAAACGCAATATTATTCTGAATTTATTACATTTAGAGTAAGTGGCGAATAGTGGATATAGCTACTGTATATAATGCATCTATTGACAGTATAAGGTTGCGCTGCTGAGGCGAGGCTCCCGCAGCCTCGCCAGGAGAAATCAAAACGCGCAACACTAAGAAACTCAGCATCCTGAGGTAAAAATTCAAAAAGGAAAGTTTTTATCTTTAATATACAGTTAGTTAGACAACATCACACAACGTTTTCCCCATTACGACTGTTTAATAGTTCTATAAACAGTTCAATAAGCAAATACAATAATATTAGGTCACTTACAGTTTAGGCGGAAACACAGCGCATGTCACAGCAACCAGCCGATTCATTGCTGATCGGTTGAGTCAAAGTTTCATTAGCCCATGCATAAACATCTGATGAATCTGCCGTTTGAACGAATCGTTTGAATGAATGACTCAATCACTCACTCATTAAACGCTCACTACTGGCACCTACTGGCGTTTTAATTTAGTTGAAAAGTATAATTTCCACCATAATTTCTTGTTTGTATATTTAAAAATATTTAAAATAATCTCATAATAATTATTTAATGCAGTTGTATTTTTCAATGTCAATTGAATTTATAGATCAAATGTAAGAATTTGAAATGAAAGTATTAATGAGATTAGTGGGAACAGAATAAATCATTTGCACAAAAAACAAAACATATATATATAAGCTCGATACCATAGAGCCCCCCCACACACACATAACAAATCCCAATTTAACCCCTGCATAAGACAAATAAGATTTATATTCCGCTTTTACTCAAAACTCACTTTAAACCACCATCAAGTTTTTGTAATAACTTCCGATTGCCGTGTGTGTTTTGGCTATGTATTGTTGATGAAATTAAATATATTTTAACCTCTGAGTCAGAGCAGCGATCATGGAAGAGAGAGCACAGGCAGACAGCGCTAGAAACTGCTAATGCTCATCAGTAAATCAGTGGAAAATGAATAGAAATGACGATTCTGTCTGAGCTAGGCGTTTTAAAACGAACACTAACTAGTGTAAATGTAGCTAACAGATATGTAAACTGAAGACTATTTGAGCTTTATTAAAACTATTTGCACTGATTTTTTGTTAGTTACATTTTGTTCCTTTGTGCAATGGCATCGAGTCTTTGAGTTTGTATAAAACATCAACAAGCTGAAAAATAAAACCAAAGTTTCATTTTTGTTCAAATAGATTTCATAAAATTGGTATCGAAAAAAGTATCGTTCAGGAACCGGTATCGAAGTCAAGGTATCGGTATCGATATCGAAAATTTTTGAACGATACCCAGCCCTACTTGTAGCTTACAGGCCTGTCGGTACAGGTTTACAAACTATCGTTAAAAATCAATCGCCCAATGGAGAAAATATATGGGATTTTTACTTCTGGAACCCAAATGTTGCACTCTATCCACCTTATTTTGCAAAGCTATTTTCTGTGAATGTAGGAGACTTCAGATTCATTTAGTATCATTTAGACATATTTAGTATCACATTGCAACACGTGCCCTCTTGCGACTCAAAACGGTTAACGTGTAATAAAATGTATTTACTTTAATATCATGTATATATATTTGTATATACAGTATATAGGCAGAATAAAACTTTTAACAGATGGCTAGAAGTCTCCAATTCCAAAACGAAAACAGAGATGACCTAAGATCGGATAGAGCTGAGGTAACAGAACTAGAGTCGTGTCTTTCTGTGAATGTAGGAGACTTCAGATTCATTAGCCACTATAGGTAAACAACTAGTAGAATAACAAGTGCAGTAAATGGTAAAAACTATTGCTACAATCCATTTTTATAATATGACAATACATTAAAATATTATGATAAGAAACACCAGTCTGCAATATCAACCAGGCCGTGCCCCCTCTAATAATTTGGATTGTAACCGTTGCCCATGGCAATATACCGGTGCTACATTCATGTATTTAGTATCACATTGCAACACGTGCCCTCTTGCGACTCAAAACGGTTAACGTGTAATAAAATGTATTTACTTTAATATCATGTATATATATTTGTATATACAGTATATAGGCAGAATAAAAACTTTTAACAGATGGCTAGAAGTCTCCAATTCCAAAACGAAAACAGAGATGACCTAAGATCGGATAGAGCTGAGGTAACAGAACTAGAGTCGTGTGTAACTACATTTGTTTTTAAGATCATCTACAAATAATCTATCAAATATTTGATCTTCTTTTAGTTTAAATTAATTACCTGATCCAAAACTCGAATTTAGAAGCATTTTCAAAATAACTGCGCAAAATATTTTTTTAGTGAGAGAGTTTTAAAAGCCGCTAACACATATCTCCACGAGCAGTTCGGTAAAAGGAGGCCATCATTCATGCGTACTTACTTAAATCCATGCCCTGCGACAACATGAGATCTTCATTTGCGTTGCTTTCCATTGGAGAGCGTCTTTTTTTGAAGAAGTAACGCGAAAACGCCCGCCGAGATGTGCGCTCATCCACCACATTCACTACATTCATCAAGTGCATCGCCCCCACACTTTCTGAATCTTCCTTTCCCGGCTGGGACGTTTGTTATCTCGTCTCTGAACATGCCCCGACGTCCCTGCAGTGAGTCACTGCACACCAAAGCCAAAATAAAAATGAGGGTAACCCTGAGGTTGTAGCGGATACTGATGCAATTCTAAATAAATACACCTGTAATAACACTTTTGGAAAGAGGTAGGCTGCACAAACAAAATGAGCCCACATGTTTTAGTTCAGGTTAATATTTTATTACGTGATCAGTCTTCTGCTTTCAGTGGATTGCAGTAGGACATGCTTTGTATGTATTCCTTCATTCATTTATACCTCCACTCTTATTCACACTTCATATTTTACTCTTTATATTTTTATTGACACATCATTGATTGTTCTATTAAATATTTGCTGTTTTATTGAATTTACATGCATAAAAATGTCATTGTGCAAAAAGCAAGAAAGTACAGTATTATATTTCCTGTAGTACGTACATTTACACTATGCCATTTGAAAATTTCAAGCCACAAAACTTTAATTGTGCCTTTGTAAGTAAATCAAAGTGGTACCAAAGTCACAAGCTGTATTACTACAATACCGAATGTACTTACTAATATCACAGAATAATATAAAAACGTAATATGATCCAGTGTGTAACAAGATAGATTGATGGCAACAAAAGATGTCATCAGTCTACCTATATTGGTAACAATGATACGAACATGTTTAAAGGGATCTGTGTTTTTAAGTATTCAATGGCTCAAAGAAAGCAGGTATGAATCAGCAGAGCTGAATGAGTGTGCTCAGATGGCCTACTTTCATGACCAGCCTTCTGGTGTCTCTGTCCCTTTGCGAGTTATCATAAATATTTGTTTTATTCAGCTCCAACATATCTCTTTGCCAGATTAAACACACACACACACACACACACACACACACCACTAAAGACGAGCTTTGGCAGTAATTTCATTTCACATTTTTCAGTCTTAGCACAACACCTGTCACCTTATAAGGCTATAATGTTCAAATGCATGCACAGACAGCGGTAGAAATATAGCAGGCATATCTTAGCAAAACACCTGTTGTCTCTGGATTTGGTGAATTGTTGTAAACATGAGGAGATCATAGTGCATTCACTGTTTATTCGCTGCAAATGTGAACACTGCAGCCAGAGTGGTGATATGTTTAAATACAAGAGAGCGTTTGCTCTGAACACACCGCACACTGAAATTAGAGGCTCTCACCACCCTCTCTCTTTCACAGTGCAAAAAACAATCTTCCGCTCAGTCACCCTGCAGCAGCCCACAAGTCACAGCTGTGAACAATCAGGATAGTGCAAAAAGCCTTGCCTACAAGCCTTGGAGTCGTTGTGATCACGACAAGCTCTGAACCCCATCAGTAATGATTACAACACCACACATAGACGGGGAACATGTCCCATGGTAGATCATCTAGATAGATAGATAGATAGATAGATAGATAGATAGATAGATAGATAGATAGATAGATAGATAGATAGATAGATAGATAGATAGATACCCTGATAGCACACATACATCTCGGAGACGTCTATTTGACGTCTGCATGTACATCTGGGAGACGTATTTTTTTACAGCGTTTGCTCATCTGCAATACGTCTATAAGACGTTTTCTATCAGATGTCAAATAGATGTCTATTAGATGTCTTTAAGATGTTTATGATTTAGAATGTATGTAAAATTGTCATCTTACAGACGTCTGTTAGATGTTTGTACACAGCAGATGCCAGCTCAAGTGATCTTTAACAGACATCTTGCAGACGTATGTGTGCTATCTGGGTAGTGAATGAGCAGACGCATTTAAGCACTATATTGTCCAAGGACAGATAGATAAACAGACAGACAGACAGATAGATGCAATGCACTGATGAAGACAAATGCGCCATCACATGGTATTAATGACGGGCAATAGGAACAGAAGTGGAGTCGACCCGCAATAACTAAACCAGTGACGGAACCCGCATTGCATCACAGAATCAATTCCTGGTCAGTGCACGCGCCTCATGATCTGCCGGCTTAATTACTCCTTTACCTGTCAGCGCGTGCGGTGCACCCTAATCCGAACCGTTTAGGTGATGCATTACCACCGACAAGTATGTTTTAAGGGAAGCGATTGGCCAATTTTTTTTTTTTGAAGTTTAGCCTCCAGTCTGACGCGAATTCAAAGACGAGCGAGAGGCATCAGCAACAGGGCACTGCCAATTCACCAGCGAGGACAATTATACAGAAAGTGTCTCGATCGTATAGACGATCCATTGGGACCGAACAGCACAGACGTCAGTACTCGATACTGATTGCGTTGCTCTAATTGTGTGGGGATTTCTTACATTTTTGCGTCATTAAATGGAGCGGCGTAGGTGACGTTTGGACTGTTGCGTTCAAGAGGAGCTCTTACCAAGACTAAAAGCCGGCGCGGAAAAATGTAAGTAGCCGTCAAAGACGAAATAGCAACCTGTTAAGGTGTCCAATGTTGCTGCCGATAAACTGCGCGTTAAAGCGCTTTAGAAGTCACTCAACTGCCATCAGAACAATCCGTTCGCCTTTTTTGAAGCGTTTGCGTGTCATCCTTATTCCGAAGGGCATTTAATCGACAGGGTTATCTTGTGGGGCTCAAGGGCACAGTGTTATTCGTGCTGGGAGTTGAACATACGCCTGATTCTCTTGTCTAGATCCTCTAATAAGGACAAATCGGCACAATTTTGTCAGACCGACTCAGTGTAAGATGATGTCCTATCGCTCTCAAGAAAGCCTGTGGATTCAGTCGTTTATCTATCTACATCCAATGTCCCTTCAAGGTCCTTTCCTAGTGTTAGAGGAATCTAAAACGCAAAGAAAAATGTGCATCTACATAACTCAAAACAGAAATCGACATCTCCACCTCTGCATTCACTTAAGGGACAAATTATGTTGAAATTGGAAATGGAAGAGTTCACTTCACATTCAGAAGAGAAAAAATATATATATATCTCTCACAACTTGGAGAGAAACGTTATCTCCTTAGCTTGATTGATTGATTTGGTATCATGTGGAGTTGATAAATTGCTATCAGTTCAAGTTTGATTCAAAAAATGATGCACACTACTCTGTAAATTGATGGTAAAAATGTCAGCTGTGTTTGCTAGAACTTTACCATAAAAATACACTGAAGATATTACAAGTATTACAGGACGGCATTTTGGTGACCAGATCTCACAGGTCCTAAATATATGTCATTTAATTGTTTCATGTGTTATAATAACCTATCTGAGGTATAATCTGTTTGTTTTAAAGTGTGCTGATATGATACAAATGGTACACTGGAAGGCCACACGATGATTTAAAGTTCAGCAACATTGGCCTCTCCAGCAACAGTGACTAATAATAATAACTTGAAGACAGAGCAAAGTGTTGCCCACACAAACACAAAACACCATCAGGGTAACTCACATGACACTGATGTAGTGCAGTAAACATTAACTAAATAACAAAAAAAATACTATACTTAGAACATCTCAATACACATAACAAAAATAAGAAGAAACCAATAATTTTAATGAAATCTAAATCAATTTGATTGATCATGGAGGGAATTCTGTCAATTCTTCTCCCTCATAAAATAAAAGACAAATAATTATAATTAAAATCACAATTTCAGTAATATTTGACTGTAAAATTGCCTTCTTGAATTTAATATAATTGTCCTTACAATTTTATACTTCTAGAAAACATTTTTGCAGTTCTACAGTGAAATTACATCTATTGTTTTTATTCAATTTTTTAAAATTGTATATGCAAATAACTTAAGTTAAGTTTATATCTTAAGTTTGTTATTTAGTTAACTGTTCAGTTAATAAATTAATAGGGTTTTTATAGCATTTGTACATTATTTTTTATTTTGTATTACAAAATACAGTCTATTTTTAGCCTGAACGTATTTACACTCATAGAATTTAAAATGAGCCAAAACCCATTTTGTTGTAGGCTAGTATTGAGCAAAAGAGAGCCACATGCTATTGAATTCAATGCGCACTGGGTTAGGGCTGCACGATTATGACAAAAATCTTAAGTGTCGATTATTCCTTTGAAATTGTAATTGCGATTATTAATTACGATTAAATGAATGATGTTTACACCTTTGTTTGAAGCAACTGCATGACATATTTTTATATGAAAATAAACTGAAAAACTTTTATTGCTTTTCTATAGTATTAAGCCTCAAATGTCAACTATACATTGGATTGGTTTCTTCTTTAAATAAAAAGGTAAAAATATGCATGGTATTATAATGTTATACTAAAACTAAAATTAAAACAATGGAAAAACCCTTAAGATAACATGTAGAAAGAAAAAAAGCATGCAGAATAGCGTAATGTGTATGATTGTGTACGTGACTAATAAAATTGAACTTGAACTTAAACGTAAGTGGACTTTGAACGATTAATTGCTGCTTTGAACGATTATGTAATTGTGGTATCCATAATTGTAATCGTGAGTAGAAATTCGATTAATTGTGCAGCCCTACACGGGGTCTTATTCCCTGTCTGGGATGGTAATGTACTTGTATGTAATCTAACATCGACCCTTATTTCACACCCCCACTACGGATCGACGTCACATTTTCTCACCCAGACCCACATTTAGTCAAAGAACAAGATGTTCTTTTGAACTCTTTGGGCTTCCACAATTCATTAAAAGAACATTACAGAAAGTTTTGTGGAAGATGCATCGAATTGGGTCAGTGTGGTAGTGCTGAAGGCGTTGGAACACCCAATTCAAAGGAATGTGCAACGGGTATGGATGCTCACCTGTCCATACCATGCGACGAGTGTAGCCTTTGTGCACAAACAGTTAAGTGAAGATGGTAGTGCAGCCAGGTGTATAAAGACGCACAGAAATAAGGTTGGTTTATTTACTACTAATCTTAAAATAATATTATGTTCATCCAAAATGAAAATTCATTTCCTTCTGTGGAACACAAAAGACAATATTTTGAAGAAGTTGTGGTTTAAACAACTGGATAGAGGTAGATTACCAGATATGACAGTGTACTTTGCAATGATCTGTTTGATGACAGCTATACAAAAACAAAGACATGTTGTTTCTATCAGTATTTATAAGCAAAGGCAGGGGTTTTGAGTTAAAGGGTTAGTTCACCCAAAAATGAAAATTAGCCCATAAATTACTCACCCTCAAGTCATCCTAGGTGTATATGACTTTCTTCTTTCAGACGAATCCAGTCGGAGTTATATAAAAAAAATTGTCTTTGATCTTTCAAGCTGTTTAATGCTACTCAGTGGGTGTTGCATGCATCAGTCCATAAAAAGCGCCCATCCATAAAAAAAAGTGTCTCACACGGCTCCGGGGGGTGAACAAAGTCCTCCTGAAGCGAATCGATGCGTTTTTGTAAGAAAATATCCATATTCAAAACCTAATAATCACTTTAAAGGGGTCATATGTTGCGGCTAAAAAGAACATTATTTTGTGTATTTGGTGTAATGAAATGTGTTTATGCGGTTTAAGGTTCAAAAAACATATTATTTCCCACATACTGTACATTATTGTTTCTCCTCTATGCCTCGCCTTTCTGAAACGCGTCGATTTTTACAAAGCTCATCGGTCTGAAAAAGCAAGGTGTGCTGTGATTGGCCAGCTATCCAGTGCGATTGATTGGCTGAATACCTCAAGCGTGTGACGGAAATGTTACGCCCTTACCATACTGTTATGATGTCCTATGCATAGAGGAGAGATAGAGAGCTTGAACATGTATACACAAAAACACTGCAGTGTTGCAAGAAAACTGACAGAATTCACAGTGCTACATTCATATTTCATCCCAGCCTGTGCCCCTGCTGTTCCCTGAGCTGGCAGTAGACCTGTTACTGAGCCCAAAAGCAGCATACCATTCTCTGTCTCTGTAAGGAAATCTGCTTAACAACCTATTGGTTTCTCTCTCTCTCTCTCCAAGGAATACTGTCTTTCATCCCATGAAGCCTTTGAGCTGTTGGTGCTCGTGGTCCGAGTTTAAAATGCATCCTATGCATTTCAAGCTTGCATCTATATTTAGTAGTATTTACAGTAAGCATAAGTAATATTAATGAGCGGTGTAATGAACTGCCAGCTGGCTCTCCACAGGTTTTGAAAGTGACGCTCTGTGTCGTTACAAATCAGTTCATTTAGAAGGGTAACAGGCATCCCAATTTAAACTGAAAATAATTCAGCTCTACGAGTATCAATTTTGAGTTTCCAAAGTTTTCTCTCATTGTAAATAACAAATCTTTGTCAGTATGACAAACTGAAAACATATCTGTTCCTGCCTCGGGTCATTAAAACTTAGTCATAAAACAGCCTGGTATGCGTAATCTACGCGTTAAGTGCTTTAGTGCACAGTAGAGCAAAATAGCGATTACTCACAGCGGTAGAAAATATATCTATTGATTTTTGACAATCGAGTCAACAGGTATGAAGTGTAGTAACCCCTGTCTTCCCACACAAAGCGTTTTTTTTAGCGCGTTATGGCATTTATTGCAGTGCGCGCTCGGGAAGAGTTCATTCGACAGCTGGATGCGGGCTGCTGGGCTGTTTTCTACGGTGAATGACCTGTTACTCAGTATATGCTGCTTGTTGAATTGCGTCCCGGTTTTGCGGACGTGATCTTGTGGCTTTTGGGAACATCGTATAGCGTTTAAATATTTAATTCCCCGCTGTATTCACGGTTATGGCGCCAGACCGAGCCCCTCAGCGCGTGCTTCAGTATCAGCAAACTCTGGTGAGTATTTCTTTCTGGTCAGCGTGAATCGGATTTTTTTTTTATTATTAATTTTCGCGAAACCAGCTGTTTTATCCGCAGAGGTGCGTAAAAGTATGATTGAGTGAGAGTGTAAAGCTGTGGGTTTATTTTAGTTATGAAAGAAATCACATTTTGAATTGAGTAGGCGATTACATGTTGAATAGTGAGAATGTAATATAGCCTAATTACTGTAGGCCAGAAGTGTAAACGACGGTTGATATTTCATTTGTGTGTGTTGCTTGACATTTGTAACAAACTTATATGTTTCCAGCTAATTAAGTCATTTGTTTGTTTATATAGGAGGTAATTCAAGTCTGTCCAGTCCACAATAACATTTGAAGCATAACTAATGGCATCATTTGCATTACGAGTTCATCCACATTTCAAGTTTAAGGGCATCATCAAAGTTCCCCCTTCATTCCTGTTTCATTCCTCCAGTGCCCCTCCTACTCCTGCTCTTGCACTTGTGGACTAAATGTAGATCCACTCTGAATATTAATTGACTCATGCACCAGTTTCCCCCATTTCTGTCACATGGTGATTGACAGCTGTACCCTGGAGCACTTGACCGGGATATCTCTATATTCAGGCAGATATGACGAGAAGGAGAACTGGAGAAGGACACGTTCAAACAGTCGGTGTGGGGTACAAGTCTC